CAACCCTAAAATCCTAAACCCTATAAACCCTAAATCCCACACCCTAGCCTAAACCCTACACCCTAAACTCTATACCCTAGACCCTAAACCCTAAAAGAGGATCGTAATCCCCCCCCCCCCCCCCCCCCCCCCCCCCCCCACCCAGATTCAAGGTACTGTACCTTAGACTCCTGGGGTTGGGGACCGGTGTTTATAGCTTCCTGAAGGATTATAAGGGCCAGCTTTGGAGTATACTAAGGGAACCTCTTAGAGGTGCTTCCTTAGGGGTTCGAGCATGACAGATGGGTGAAGGTATCTTCTCCAACTCCAACCCTAGGGAGATCAGCCATGTTCCGATTCCATGCTGGAGTTTCGGGTTTAGGGTGTGGGGTCACCCGAAGAAACACCCTGCTTTAGCCCCATATAACCCCCCCCCCCCCCTCAGCTAAACCCTAAACCCTAAACCCTAACCCTACCTAAACCCCAAACCCTGTGAAGATTCCCCCCTCCCTAAGCCGCGAGCCGATCCCAAAGTAGTTGTTCATCACCATAGGCTTCAGGCGTCTGGCCTTCACCTGGTTTAAGAGAGCTTGAGAGTTTGAGGTTCTCCTATTTGCTTAAGAACCCCAAGAGAATTTAAAAAACAAAAACAGTCATCCCTATATTGCCCTGAATAAGGAAGAATGCTTTCATTTTGTTGAGGGGTTCTCAAGCAAGTGGTAGGGTTTTGATTCTGATGGCTTCAGGGCTTCAGGCGCCCTCGCCTTTACCTGACCAAGGCTTGAGGGCTTGAGGGCTTTTGGGGGTTTAGGGGGTTTAGGGGGTTTAGGGCTTAGGGCTTAGGGCTTAGGGTTTAGGGTTTTGGGTGTTGAGGGTCTCGGTGTATGGGGGTTAAAGGGTTCTGATGAGGCTTTTCCGGGCTTGGGGTGCAAGGTTTGGGGCTTTTCAGGGCTTAAGGTTACAGGTGTTTCAGGATCTAGGGCGTCAGGTGGTTTAGGGGGTTGGGTTTGTGGGGTTTGTGGGGTTTGTGGGGTTTGTGGGGTTTGTGGGGTTTGTGGGGTTTGTGGGGTTTGTGGGGTTTGTGGGGTTTGGGGTTTAGGGTTTAGGGCTTTTCGCTCGCGAGAGGGACTGGCGAGTCAGGAGTGGGAGCTTAGTTGGAGTCTGCGCAGTTCTCGAGTAGAGGTAGAGAGCACCCTAACACACACACAGCCACAGAATAAGCCCGAAAAAAAACCTTACACGCTCTTTTGAGCTGCGGTTTGGGGTCTAGGGTTTAGGGTTTAGGGTTTAGGGTTTAGGGCTCAGAGTTCAGGGTTTAGGGTATTCTGCGGGGCCCGCGGCCCTCTGCAGGGCGAAGTTGGCCGCTCTGAATAATGCCCCTAAACTGGGTCCTCTGCAACCCGGGAAAGCATGAAAGATCACCAAAACCTACATAGCCCCTAAACCCTAAACCCTAAACCCTAAACCCTAAACTCTACACCCTAAGCCCTAAACCCTTGTGAAGCCTACACCCTAAACCCTAAACCCTAAACCCTAAACCCTAAACCCTAAACCCCTAAACCCCTAAACCCTAAACCCTAAACCCTAAACCCTAAACCCTAAACCCTAAACCCTACGTGAGAAGAGTGAAGCCGCCTGTGGTGCGCCACCGGTCAGCCAGGAGGGGCGCAGGTCTTCTAACCAGCCTGCCAGTGCGGCGTGAGCGCTTCAGAAGGTCTAGGGTGTTTAGGGTTTAGGGTTTAGGGTTTAGGGTTTAGGGTTTAGGGTTTAGGGTTTAGGGCCCTGGGGCTTAGGGTTTATTTAGGGTTTATTTCGGGTTTAGGGTTCAGTTTAGGGTTTAGGGTTTATTCAGGGTTTATTTAGGGTTTAGGGTTTGGGGGTTTAGGGTGTTGGGGTGTTGGGGGTTTTAGGGGCTTAAGGGTCCACTGGCGTTTAAGGTTTAGGGGTTTAGGGTTCAGGGTTTTAGGGCTTTGGGTTTCTCAGGGATTTCAAGGGTTTTTAGGGATTGTCGGGATTTGAGGGCTTTTAGGGGTTTTAGGGCTTTTTGGGTTTGGTTTAGGGCGTTTAGGGTTTCAAGGTTTCCAGGTTCTAGGGTACGAAGAATCAGAGGGGACCATGATTCAGAATTACCTTCCTTCATGGGAGTGGGGTATCGGTCTGATAATCCGGGTTTAAGTTTCAGGGTTTCGGGTTTAAGACTTAGTGTTTAGGGCTGAAAATTAATTTAAAGCTTTGTGGTTTAGGGTTTGAGATTCACGGTTTAGGCTATATGGTCCTTAAGATTTAGGGTTTAGGGTTTAGGGGAAATTGGGGGGGGGGGACACCTTTATGAAGCCACAGCATTGCAAACAAAACAGCAAATAGCGCAAAAAAGGGGTAGAAGGTGGATTGCTTGGCAATCATGGAAATAAGAACAGCAAATATGATAAGAGTGATACTCGGAATAATGACAATAGTGAAACTAAAACTAACAGCAATGAATAGCGAACCTCGTAACAAATTTTGCCAGCTTAGACCCCAACAGTGGAGAGACCAATGTGAGCACTCAAAAGCACGACGCAGCGACACCAGGAGCCTGAATGCCCAAAAGCAGCGGGGTTCAGGGTTTAGGGTTTAGGGTTTAGGGTATAGGGTTTAGGCCAAAACGCGAGCAAGCTTCGAGAAAAACGCTTGGTCCAGGCAGCAGTTTTTACCCCCGCGTACTCCGAACGTTAGAACCTCCTTGTGTTGACTCACTGTTTCGGGGGGCATGCCTCCCAGCACTAGACAGCTCCGCGATGACTTGCTGCTAGTGGCAATGTGCTCTTGTATGTCAGATGGCGAAGAAGCAGCTCCCTTTCGCTTCCTTGTTGAACTCAAATCCCCCGACCCAGATCCCGCGCGAGCCCGACAAGCCCTAAACCCTCAACCCCCGAAATCCCCCCGCACCCTTGAATCCCAAACCTAAATCCCCCAAACTTGGGATGTTCCCCCTGAAACTAGCAACAAGGATTAATATTGGGTACTATAATCCGTATTGAGGACTGTTAGTAGAAGGGGAACATCCCAACCCTTGCCCCCTGAACCCTAAACCCTAAAACCCCCCAAACCCCAAACCCCTAAACCCTAAACCCTAAACCCTACCACCGCCCTCAACCCACCAATGCTCAGCCCCTCAACCTCTGAAAACACAGAGTTGCAAGCCCGGCGGCTGGAGGTAACCTCGGTGTTTAGGGTTTAGGGTTTGGGGCTTAGGGTTTAGGGTTTAGGGTTTAGGGGGTATAGATTAGGGTTTAGGGGTTTAGGGGGGGATTCTTGGTGAGTTCTATGAGAAGACCTTTGAGATTTGGGAACCGCGGCATGTTAGGTTCGGGCCTACGCTTCTTTCATGCCAGAGATCTTTAGCCTACTCCCCTTGGCACCCTAAGAACAAACAACGTTAACATGTGCCTTTGGGTTTTATGGAAACCGACAACAAAAAGTAATCCTCAAGGGGCTCTAGCAAACCGGACCCTAAACCTTAAACCCTAAACCCTAAACCCTAAACCCTAAACCCCCATGCCCAAACCCCGAAATTTCTGGACCCAAAACCCTCTGAACCCCCTAGGATGGCCCCTAGAACCCTCTGAAAAACATTCCTAGAGGGTCTAGGGTTTCGGGTTTAGGGTTTAGGGTTTCGGGTTTAGGGCTGAGTATGATCCTCTTCGACCCCTAAAACCCCAAAACCGACGCCGCCGTCTGCCGACGCGCGGGTGCCGAGGCACTGTCCAGCGGTCGAGCAGCTCGACGTGCGCCTGACGTGCGGGTTTAGGGTCGGGTTTAGGGTTTAGGGTTGAGGGGGTTTAGGGTTTAGGGCTAGGGTTTAGGGTTGGGGGGTTTGGGGTTTGGGGTTTCGGGTTTTAAGGGTTAAAAGAGCTTATGAGCTCTTGGCGAGGTTTAAATATGGAGGCTGCGATTCATCTGCCAAAGCTCCTGAAGGATGAGACTTCCCGTGTCTACCACATGCGCCAGGGAGGAAACCCTAAACCCTAAACCCTAAACCCTTAACCCTGAACCCTTAAACCCTAAACCCAGGACTAGAGAGCCCAATACCCCTTAGTGAAGGAATCTACCTTAAACTGAAAAGGGAGCCTTGGTACGATGTAAGGTATGTTCCTTAACTAAGGGGTAGTGCGGTCTTTGGGGAGCTGCGTGGAAAGAGCGGCCATAGATCAATAAGAAAGACGCACGGACCTTACAACTCAGCCAAGGAAGATGGGAACCCTAACCCCAAATCCTAAACCATCATGTTCCCCCACAAACTCCCTAAAACCCACTGAGGTATCACCCACTAGCCTGAAAACCTAAACCTAAGCCTGTGTCTCATGCCGGTTCTGGAACTTAACTCCCACCCTACAGCTAGCCTAAACCCTAATCCCTTACATCCCTAATCCTAAACCCAAAGCCCTAATCCCTTACATCCCTCATGCTAAACCCTAAACCCTAAACCCTAAGCCCTAAGCCCTAAGCCCTAAGCCCTAAGCCCTAAGCCCTATGCCCTAAGCCCTAAGCCCTAAGCCCGAAGCCCTAAGCCCTAAGCCCTAAGCCCTAAGCCCTAAGCCCTAAGCCCTAAGCCCTAAGCCCTAAGCCCTAAGCCCTAGGCCCTAAGCCCTAAGCCCTAAGCCCTAAACCCTAAACCCAACCTACACCTTCTAAAACCTCAGGAACAGAACACGCAAGCCCAGGCCGCAGGCTTCAGGATCTGACTTACCCTCTAGGACTATAAGAGTGCATGGTTTAGGGTTTAGGGTTTAGGGTTTAGGGTTTAGGGTTTAGGGTTTAGGGTTTAGGGTTTAGGGCTTCGGGATGCTTCGGGCTTAGAGTTCAGGATTTAGGGTTTAGGACTCTCATTAGCTTGGATTCCTCTCAAAATCAAACCTTATGCCTGCGAGTACGGTTCGGGCGTGCGTGCGCAACTCAGGGATTTTTCAGGGTGGGGAGGTGAAGACTTCTAGATGACAATATACCGCGTATCTCGTCCCCCCCTCCCGCCACCCGGCTGCCTGGTTCACATGCTGCAAGACTGGCAGGACACTGCTGGCGGTGAATCCGCCCCCCCATCCTGCCAACTTGGATGTCCGGTGTGAGGTTTGAGGTGTCGGGTCCGTCCCCCGGCAACCCTAAGCGGGTGGATTTTTTTGGGGTGTTTTGGAGTGTATGTTTCCTTGGCCTTCTTTCGGAAAACCTTATTTTATTGGGATTTCTAATCATTTCGTAGGTTGCATGAGGTTCAAGAAAGATCCGATAAATTAGAAAAAAACATATATACATTAAAGGCTCCACTATTTCGTACCTCATGGCGGAAGCTTCACTTGGGGGGGGGACTTAAACTCCTCGTGCCAAGTCTCTTGCATTCACTTGGGCGGTTCACAAAAAACAAGCCATCTCGAAGTTCATTTTAGCCGTCTCGGATGACACAGCTGCACCAAGCGATGCCACAGGTTTGAACATCTGCGTGCTTTGCACGGCAATCATGGCGTTCGTATCTTCTCACGAAACTCATCAGTGCGTCTTGCACGGCGCGGCTTGCGTGAGGGTGTTCAAGTTAACTGTCTTTAGAACACCCTGGAAAAAGAAGGCATGCTCGCTACAACTGCTTTGCAGAAAATGCGGATGTTCGTCCAGTACGGAGCCTGTCTCCAACACATACATGGCCGTGTGCTTGTAAAACAGCTTCTTGTGAGCGGTAAATGACCACTGCCGAGGATTACCTAAAGCACGTCTAAACGAGGCTTCTCCATCCTCATACAAGCACGAGAGCGCCAGATCCAGGCGTTCTTCCATGACTGCTTTGTTCGCCTTTGCATACTCGAGCTTGTATTTGGGCATGATGACAGTGGCGCTGATGGCAACACTTTTGTTGTTCACCATGACGCGAGCCGACACATCGTACTTCAAAAATGTGTTCGCATCACCTGCAAACAATGTTCCCCTAGTTCCTTCTTTCGGCCCTCACATAGCCCGAAGACGTTGAGGTTCGCACTCTAAGTTCCCTTTTGGCGCCATACAGACTGCAGACTTTGAGGTTCCCGAGTTCCTGTTTTTGGCGTGACACAGACTGGAGACTGTGAGTGAGGCTCCCTAATTGCGCGAGAAAGGTTTGAGACTTTGCGGTGACCTAAGCAAATTGTTTACCATCCTCCTGCCTTCCTTGGCATGCCACTTCTGCATCAAGGCCCCACCTGCCTTGAGTCTTTTGGCACTGAACGCTAAGGACGGCGGCGGCACACAAACCTGACAAACGGCGTTGGCATATTGACCGCTCCGCACCCACGTCTGCATGCTCGAAGCGGTTTCACGAACAAGGTGACTCACATCTTGATGGACGAAGCCTTTTTTCAAAAGACCTTTCAAAGTCCGCCACACTCGCTCTTGCGAGTTTGATACGTAAGTACCGTATCCTGGGCAAACTTGGCCAAGACCACTTTGCCACGATGCACTCCACCACCTGCCTTTTTTCTGCAGTATCCATTCTTCCAAGTACGCCGCAAGCTTCTCCTCACAAGCCGAAAATTCACGAGAATCCCTATTTCTGAAGCCAAGCTTTCGCAAGAATCTCTTTATGTATGGCGCAGAAAAACACAGGTCCTGATTCCAATCTTCTGGACCCCGAAGTCTTCTCAAAGTATCTTCCCAAATCACGTGGAACTGGAGAGGATGGGCGATTTTGGCGCTGAACTGCAAGATGTCAAGGATGTGGGAGGTCAACTCTGGGCGGGGGTGGGGGGGGGGGGGGGTTGGGATTGATAGTAGCGTGTCCCACGTGCTGCTCAACAACAGGGGGGGTGGAAAGGAAGGACACAACAAAATGAAGATGAACGTGCTTGCAGCTGCTAGCAATTCGCTGTGTTTGTAGCCTGTGTACGCAAAAAAAGTCACAAGTCGCCTTCGGGCGTAGGACATCGTCAGATTCACTGATGTTGGTCTTCAAGCTCACCAAGAACTCCACGAACGCATTCACGTGGTGGGTCTCACCTTTGCCGCTGTTGCCCACAGCTTTCCACAAATGATTCGCGTGCCTCTTTGCCAACTCCAGCCGAACGAGGCACTGCAAGGCCGGCTCGGGTCACGGCGGCGACTGCCACCTGCAAGTCTCACCATGTCACAAGAGACTTCACACCTAAGACCTATCAGCCCTAAGACGACAAAAAGCACAAGTTCAGTCGGTGTTGTGACACAGCAAAGAATCGGAAAGGTAAAAGTCTGGACTCCTGGACTCTGCTGTAAAATCGCTGCTCACCCGTTGGACCCTGCCCGAACAAGCCCTGTCGAGTGCGTGCTGGATCCAGCGACACAAGCGCCACCTGAAACGGCGCACCAAGCTTGTTCTGGACCTTCTGCATTTCTGAGTCAAGCTTCCGACCTTCGGGGTCCAAGACGTCCTTGGCCGCATCACCCCCTGTCAGGGCCCCTGCCTGGCTGCCACTTTTGCGCCTGCCGCTCCTCATAGAGCCGGGGCTGTCTCCCCGTTCGCTGCCAACGCCGGCAGCTGCAGAAGGCTTTGTGGCCCTGTCTGCATGCTGGGGCTTCTCCTGCTTGACCTTTACAGCCTTTGCCTTCGCCGCTCGGGATTCTCCCGCCGCCAAACACACCGCTGCTGGCAGGAATGACACCTTCCATGTCCTCCTCTGCAAGTTCTGGTACTTCCAGGTCATCATCGTCTGGATCCTCCTCCTTTGCAGTCTGGTCCTGTACGAAACTCACACTCACAGCCCTGTTTTGAAGCTGCCGGCTGACAGGACAGACTAAGTGTTGAAAAATGAGAATATATATATATATATATATGTATGAATATATCATACAATATACATACTTCTCTCCTTTCTTTCTTTCTTCCTTCCCTGCCTCCTTCCCGCCCTTTTTTCGCTTCCTATTTCACGGCTTCTCTACGATTTCCTCTTGAAATATAGAGGGAGTAGAGGTTTCCTGGAAAAACCAAGGAAATGGACACCCAGCAAAATGGGCCATTCACCCTAAGCCCGGAAAACCCTAAACCCTACACCCGACTTAGCGGGTTTGGGTGCGACCCTAAACCCAAAACCCTAAACCCTAAACCCGGAACCCAAAACCTATAACCTAAACCCTAAATCCTAAACTCTACCCTACAGGCACCAAGCCGAGGGGCTCCCCAAGAAGGCCCATCGTGCCCCTATCCTCCCCCCCCCTCGAATATTTGCTAGTCTTTACATTCATTCATGCGGGGGAGGGGGTGCCCTGAGCCCTGAGCCCTGAACCCTAAACCCCTAAAACCCTAAAACCCTAAACCCCTAAACCCCTAAAAGCCTGAACCCTAAACCCCTAAAACCCTAAAACCCTAAACCCCTAAACCCCTAAACCCCTAAACCCCTAAACCCTAAACCCCTAAACCCCTAAAACCCTAAACCCCTAAACCCCTAAACCCCTAAACCCCTAAACCCCCCCCTAAACCCTAAACCCCTAAACCCCTAAACCCCTAAACCCCTAAACCCTAAACCCCTAAACCCCTAAACCCCTAACCCCTAAACCCCTAAACCCCTAAAACCCCTAAAACCTAAACCCCTAAACCCCTAAACCCCTATCGTAAACCCCTAAACCCCTAAACCCCTAAACCCCTAACCCCCTAAACCCCTGAACCCCTGACCCCGAACCCCTAAACCCTAAACCCTGAATCCTAAACCCTAAACCCTAAACCCTAAAGCATAAACCCCAAACCCTAAACCCTAAACCCTAAAAATCCTGAACCTGGCCCCACCATTCTCTGCGCCTGTGACCCGCGCCAGGTCGTTGCCGGTGCCTAGTTCATTGTTGGGATAATATTTTTAAAAAATGAAAGTTTATTCCTTATTATTTTGGGATAATAATAGAAATTTAATTTTCGATCCCTCATTGGGTTTAAGTACCCTTAAAACGTGCAAAATGTAAGTGTCTAGTCCTTGTTGGGTTTAAGTGCCCTTAAAACACGTAAAATGTTACCCAACGATGAGAAAGGTGCCCAGGGGCAAGATGCCCACGGGCGGTTGGTAGTCCAACTCCTGAGGGAGCGACTCCGAGTTTCGGCTTCAGATCGACGGCTTTAATTCTACATTTAAATAATAAATAGATATATAGATATATATCGACGGCTATGTACATTTAAATATTCTAGATAATCTATTATATATGTATGGCTAAATTTGTATACATACATGAAGAGAGAGAGAGAGAGAGAGAGAGAGAGAGAGAGAGCGAGAGATGGATAGATAGATAGGTAAATGGCTAGATGGATGGATAGATAGGCAGGATATATATATATATATATACATATAATGTAGACCTATGATTTTGGGACATGATAAGGTTTATGGGGTAGCTTCGGGTCGGGTACAGTAGTTGAGCATTGGCGGGTTCTTGGTCGTCCTTCCCGTATCGGTGGATGGTTCGGAGGGGGGGGGGAGGGGGGGGGGGGGGGGGGGGGGGAGGCCCGAATGACTATGTGCGCCAGCCAGGTCTCGAGCTGATACAGGGCGCCAAGAACCCAGCCAACCGTTCCATCGCCGCCGCAGACTAGGATGCGATACCTGCTTCGGGTTTCCGGCTTGAGTATAGGGTCGTGGGGATTATGCTCAGGGTGTTCAGGGTGCAGAAACGCTTCATATCTGGGTAGTTCTCTAACCCTGGGTCCCTTGTTGGATCACCCTACATAAGATGGCGCCCTCAAAATACGCAAAAGGGACGCGACTTTGGAGAACGACCCACACGGGGGTTTACGACTATGGGGGACCCTTAGTATACACCCGCAAAACGTAGGATTCCCGTATAATAAGGACCCCAATAAGGCGCCCCCTAATTTCGGAAACCCCCCATAAGGGTCCGAGGCACGATCCATCGCGGGGGTTCGAGGCTTCTCAAAAACCTATCCCTCTAAGCCCTAAACTCCAAACCCTACACCCTACACCCTACACCCTAAACCCTAAACCCTAAACTCGATAAATCCGACACCCAGGCTCCCCCGCCTGAGATCCGTCTTCTGCCACCACTTCAGGGCTGCTTCGGGCCCCTCCCGCTGCAAGTCCACAACCTGCCTTGGTGGGTTTAGGGTTAGGGTTTAGGGTTTAGGGTTTAGGGTTTAGGGTTTAGGGTTTAGGGTTTAGGGTTTAGGGTTTAGGGTTTAGGGTTTAGGGTTTATGGTTTAGGTTTAGGGTTTAGGGTTTAGGGTTTAGGGTTTAGGGTTTAGGGTTTAGGGTTTAGGGTTTAGGGTTTAGGGTTTAGGGTTTAGGGTTTAGGGTTTAGGGTTTAGGGTTTAGGGTTTAGGGTTTAGGGTTTAGGGTTCAAGGTTCACGGTTTCGGGTTTAGGGTTTAAGGGTTTAGGGCTTGGGGATTTGGGGATTTGAGGATTTGCGGCTTGGGGTTTGGGGTTTGGGGATTTGGGGGTTGGGGGGGTTGCGGATTTGGGGGTTGGGGTGTGGGGTTGGGGGTGTCGTGGTCGGACACTTGTTGACTTTTCGAACATCAGTATGGGTTTAACATGCTATGATCCGCTTTCGGGGCGAGGGAAGCAGGACATGAAAGGTTGATCTGGCTAAGGGCTTTACAAGGTCTAGGAAATTGGAGTTTAGGGACTCGGTTTTCTCACGGTTTGACGGCCCAAAGCCTATGCAGACTTAGGCACTCATGCGCATACAAGGGATTAGACAGACTCGTCGGCAGACTCCCGTTACATGCCTTGCTTTTGAAGACTTCATTGCCGAGCCTCCGGAGCTAAAGTAACTAAGCAATATCCGTTTGGATGTTCCCCCCTTATACTAGCAGCCCTTCATGGGGATTTATAGTACCCCTATTATAATCCCTTTTAAGGACTGTTAGTACAAGGGGGAACATCCGTTGGGCTTGCAGAAATTTCGGGGAGCATCCGTGAGCACCACTACTTGGAGGTTCATGGTACCTCTTAACCTGCTATAACTGTACTTAAAACTTGATAACTTATAACCATATTGGGGCACTTAAGGGGCTTAAAAGTGGGTTAGAAGTACAGTTGTAATTGGTTAATAAGTACCATGAACCTCCAAGTACACCCTAAACCCTAAACCCTAAACCCTAAACCCTAAACGGTTCCCACGTCTAAGCCCAAGGAGTCGGTGGCTGAGGTAGCCGCGCGGAGCACACGCCCGGCCCCGCTCCGTAGCCCAGGCGCAGCACTCGTTTTCTGCTGCTTGCTTGTAATTAAGAACCCCACCCAAAAAATATAAATATTCTTCCTGATAAGGGTTATATAGGGATTACTACTTTTCAATTTTTTTCGGGGGGTTCGTAAGCAAATCGTAGTTTTGGGTCAAACTTGTCGTCTCTCGTATAGGCGGGTGGCGTTTTGGGCCTGGGCTCCTGTTTCAGGTCCACGCCGGTATTGTGCTACCAGAAACCCGAAACCTAAACCCTACACCCCAGGGTTTTCTCATGTTTGAGGGCTAGGGGAAAACTGGGGTGTGAGTGGGGGGGCCCTGTAAAGATTCAACCTTCCATCGGATGATGGGGTATTTTAGGAATTCAGGTCCAAATGTTCACCCTAAACCCTTAACCCTAAACCCTAAACCCTGAACCCTAAACCCTAAACCCTACACCCTAAACCCTAAACCTTAAACCCTAAACCCTGACAAGTGGCAGCGTGTGGAGGTAGTTCCTCATCTCGGTCATCACTTTGAAGCCCTGCTGCCCTCCACTTCCTGGGGTTCAGGGTTCAGGGTTCAGGGTTCTGGTTTCAGGGTTCAGGGTTCAGGGTTTAGGGTTTAGGGTTTAGGGTTCAGGGTTTAGGGTTTAGGGTTTAGGGTTTAGGGGAGGAAGGGTGCGGGGGAATCAGGGCTAGGCCTCAAGGGCTTTAATGGTTTTGACACGCCCAATCCGTAGAAGGTCCTCTGACCCGCAAACCTTCGCCATTAGATGGGTAAGTCATCCGATGTACACCTTTGTCCACCCCCTTGCCACCTTGAGCCGGTTCTCTACCCTAAGCCCTAAACCCTAAACCCTAAACCCTAAACCCTAAAACCTAAACCCTAAGCCCTAAACCCTAAACCCTACAACCAACATAACTTGAGCAGGTTCAGGGAGCTCGCACCCGCAAGCTTGAACCCAATATCGTTGAAAACTCGGCTGCAGCTAGCCGCTAACTCGCCACCAAAGAGTCGACCCAAAAACACCAAAGAGTCGACCCAAAAACACCCAGACCCCAGTCCAAAGAAAGAAGAAGGTGCAGGAGACTTTGTCTGTTTGAAGGGGTTTGGGTTTCGTGTTTGGGGAATGGGGCCCTGAGTGAAAGGGGAATAAAGGGCCCAGTCTGGGTCGCGGTATACCTTGCCAGGGCGCGAGTGTTCACAAAGACCAAGACGGGTCGGCAAGCAATCTGGTCCAAGCGCGCAGGGATGACCTGAACGTAGGTCTTAGGGTATTTACATGGTCCCTTCATGAGGGCCCTCAAGATGGGACCCCTTGTATACCCCTGATATAACCCTATAAAACCCAAGGGCCCATACTTCAGAACACTTTGAAGAAGGCAACGGACCATACCATGTAACAACCGTGGAGTAGTATGGTTTAGGCGCAAAACCCTAAAGCCTAAACCTTGAACCCTAAACTAAATTTTAGGAATTTGGGAGTTTAGGATTTAGCGCGTAGGTGCGCATCCCACATGCCTCGAACCTGAAGCTTTCGACCAGGGCAGAGGATGGTGTTAACGTTTACTAGGGTTTAGGGTTTATGGTTTCTGGTGACCCAAATGGGTGCCCTTTTCGTTTTAGAGGAGATTGTAAGGAAACCTCAACCCCCCAAAAAGGGAATAAGGACCTACACCGGGTCCCAGTATCTTACTCCGTCTCCTGCCTGCTAAACCTTCCTCGAAGCTAGGGTACACGGCTTAGACGTGTCGTCAGAAGCATGGTACAATCTGGATGCAAGGCCTATGAACAATGTTAGGCCCACACCCTGAAGCTTGACACCTAAACCCTAAACCCTAAACCCTAAACCCTAAACCCTAAACCCTAAACCCTAAACCCTAAACCCTACACCCTAGACGCCGGCCTGGCGTAGAGCCCACCTCGCCTCAGGCCCTTTTGGGATGACTTTGTCCATGGCAGCCTTCGCGGTCCCAGGGCAATACTTCGGGTCTAGGGTTTAGGGTTTAGGGTTTAGGGTTTAGGGTTTGGGGTTTGGGGTTTGGGGTTTGGGGTTTAGAGTTTGGGGTTTAGAGTTTGGGGTTTAGGTATAGGGTTTTGGGGTTTGGGGCTTGGGGTTTAGGTATAGGGTTTTGGGTGTCTATAGGGTCTGGGGTTTAGGGTACACCCTAAATGCCTGAGCCCCCCTGAACCCCAAACACCTCAGTCAACAAGGCCCCCTGGTTCTTAGTAGGGAATGAGGGAATTAGGGCCCCAATATATACCCTTTAATATATACCCTTTAAGGGATTCCAAAGAGTACTTCATTCCCTGATTGCCTACTAAGAACCAGCCACCTTAAACTTGAGGGGTATAGGGAGGGACCCTCTTAATCTTATTCCCTTTTTGATATAACCCTTATATAACTTATATATACATATATATATATATGTATGCACCTTATACAGTCCCTATATACGTAAGCAGCCGCTAAGTAACCCCTAAATAACCCCTAAGGTCCCTTACCTGCCTTCAGTCCCTTGATTCGTAGTGATTGCGGGTACCCTATATAATGCCTTAAAGGGTATATATACATATACATACCTTATACTACTAACTGCTTAAGAAACCCCAAAAATATATTATTCCTTATAACGGTAATATAGGGATTGTTTTCTTTTTAAAAATCTTTTGGGGTTCTTAAGCAAATAGTAGTATACGTCCCGATATACCTAGGCAGCCTTGGCAAGCTCGTTTGCAGTGGCCCTCCAGTCAGACACGCCGCCGGGGATTGCAATGGAGCGGCTGCTCTTCTTGGCATCCTGTGCGGCTGCTGAAAGGCCCTAGCCCTTATAAGCCCTAAACCCCAAACCCTAAACCCGAAACCCTAAGCCCTGGCGGTTAGGGTCCTTGCTACAAGTGACACAAACTTACCAGAAGCAAGCCCTCAGTCGACAAAGCATGTGGATTTCTGGAATTCATAGTTGCGTGTCTTGGCAAACAGTGTTAGGGTTCAGAGCTTCACCCTAACTTCTCCCCAAATTCTGGGTTCATTTGGCAAGTCCTCGGCTACAGGCTCCACGCAGTTGGCTGGCAGAACGAGGCGTCGTAACCTTTTTTGATCTCGGCGGCTGCCGATCATCTGCAAGTCCATGCTTGCGGGGCTTTCGCGCAGCCTGGGTGCTCACGAAGAGAATACGCCCAAGCACCGCTTACAGAAGATGAAGGCCCCAGCTAAGACTCCCAGAAGCCCTAGACCCTAAACCCTAAACCCTAAGCCCTAAACCCCAAACCCTAAACCCTAAACTCGACAAGCATGCTTAAATGCAGTATCCAGACGTGGGGGCCTCTGAAGGAAACTGTCGCTCTCAACAGAGCCACGCGCCAGGATACTTTCCATAGACACAATATAGAGGGCCTTAATGGTTACAGTAGGGTTTTGGGGGCTAGTATTCCAGAGGGGAATACTACTAGTAACTCTTCCGACCTTTTTTCCTTGTTTTTTTTTTTTTTTTTGGGGGGGGGGGGGGGGGGGGGGGTAAGCGGTACGAAAAAGGCTGGCGTGTTGACGCGAGCTGTAGCTTAACAAAAGGACGGTCTTTCGTCATGGGCTCGTGCACAGAGGAACTTGCCTCAAGTTACCATAATAGGTCTATACGATAGCTATCATGACTTCCTTACTGCGGTAGTTAACTTCGTTCAAACTTCTTGACTGCGACCCAGCAGCAGAAGCAGCAACGCCGACAGCAGAAACCCCATCCCTGCTGCAGCAATTAGAAACAGCAACTCGTCGCTCAGTTGCCGAACGTGCAGGGCTGGTGCCCATTCCCAATCCAGTGAGGCGCCCTGCATGGCAAGCTGGAAGTATGTACATGGCGCAAGGCTCAAGGCGGACCTTCACTAGACAGTCCCAACAATTATTTATAATTAGGGCTCCATACTAACCAACAAATTATCCCAAGTCGATACCTAGTTCAGCGTCGTAAGGCAAAGTTACGGCTGGAAAGTGGGGCATGGGGCTTCATCACTGCTGGTGCCTCTGAGGATGGCCATCCTTTGTGCTTCGAGGCTTTGGGGGGTTGTAAGCCCTTAACCCTGAAGGCCCCAAACCCTGGACACAGGAGGTGATCTGGAATCTGGACATACTTTCTTCGAGCCGAGCCGCTGCAGTCACCTGGTCCACAGTGAACATGCCTACCCTGGGCCCCAAGAAACCCTAAAAGCTAAACCCAAAACCCTGCACCCTAAACCCTATCCCGCATAAGTCTGCTAAGGATAACCATCTCGGGATAAGGCTTGAGACCAGCAAACTGGAGCCACAAACACAGAACCTTAGCCCACGATCTTCAGCCTGGCGACCAGCCTGACGACCTTAAACCCTAAACCCTACAACGGAACCCCAAACCTCCAAGGACCCAACAGTCGGAATCGCCCTGCCCACCGCCCCCCCGCCCCCCCCCTCCCAAACCGCCCCCCACCCCTGAACCCTGCACTCCGAACTTTCTGCCCTAAGCCCTGAACTCTGGAAATCAGCCTAAACCTGAGACCCTTAAACCCTCAACCTTAGGAACGCCACGAAGCCCAACTGTGAGATTTTGGTTTACCGCAAGCTGTTGAAGTTCGCAAGGGGTAACCCTAAACCCCTTAAGCCCCATAAGCCCTCAATCCGAAACTCTCGGAGAACCTTGGCCCGTCACCCACAGGCCGTCACTTGCCAACATAACGCCAGGTAGTCGGCAAGACTGCCAATGACCTGCGTCAGGGCTAGGGTCCAGGGTTGTGAGGTTTAGGGTTTAGGGTTAAGGGTTTAGGGTTTAGGGCAGGGTTGCGAGGTTCAGGGTTATTGGGTTTAGGGTTTAGGGCTATTCTAGGCTTAGGGTTTTTTGGGCTTAGGTAGGGTTTCGCGTGGTTAGGGGGGGTTTGAGTGCTTAGAGCTTCTAGGGCTTGCTAGGGTTCTCAGGTTGAAAGGGCTTATCGGCTTGTGCAGAGTCGATAGGGCCTTTTCGGGTGAGGGCCATTGGGTTTAGGGTTTAGGGTTTAGGGTTTAGGGTTTAGGGTTTAGGGTTTAGGACCCCATATGTGCTATCTCAACTCACTGAGGCCAGGCTGTTGGAACGTGCTGACATGAAGTCCACGCACTCGACAGATTGTTGTTCAAAGAATGCCTGATCCGACTTTTGCACATTCTTGTAGTCCAAGCCGGGATGACGAAATCGCCGGATATGGTGTCCCCGCATGAGGCAATGTAGAAGTCAACGCCGAGGCAACGGCACAGCCACATTCCCGTCCTGGGCTTAGTCCGGGTAATCCTGGAGCCCCAACCGGCCTCGCTAACTGCCTGCCATGATTTCTCTCGGTTTTTTTGGGGGGAGGGCGGAGAAGAATCCCTGGAATGCTCTAGTTTAGGGTTCAGGTCTGAGGGTAGCACCTTTAATACAGACAAGGGGGCGGGGGGGGGGGGTGCATGTAACAACACGCGTCTAGAACTCAGACCAGTGGAGGCCTCTTCGGCGCCCGTGACTTCCAGGGCTCGGGAACCCTAAACCCTAAAAACCGAAACCCTAGACTCCAAAAAACCCGAAAACCCTAAACCCTATAACCCTAAACCCTAAACCCTAAACCCTAAGCCTAAACCCTAAACCCTATAACCCTAAACCCCAACCCTTGCTGGCGATTTTTGGGAACTGGCAGCCTGAAAGCTTCGGGCTTCTGCCATGCAAACTCCAGGCGTCCCAGAACCGAATTTTTTGAGACTTCACCCACTCGCAAGGGGGGTTTAGGGTCTAGGGTCTAGGGTCTAGGGTTTAGGGTTAAACCGTTTAGGGCTTAGGGTTAGGGTCTAGGGTCTTAGAGGTTGGGGGGATGTTTGGAGTGATTGCATTTTGTTCTTTTGTTGTTTTGCGTGTGCGCATAGGGTTTTTGAGATCGAAGGCTGCATTGATTCTCTTGCGTTTACGGTCTCTAGGTTTCATACGGTTTGGGGTCTTTAGGCTTCATAAGGTTTAGGGCTTACATGCTTCAGAGTCCTGCAGTCCCTGTGACGTTTTGACAGCTTCTACGGCATCGGCGCACCACTCCCTGCAGCGCGAGCCTGTGATGTTCGATATCTCAGGCTCGGCACTCACGCCGTACCTGTGAGTCTGTGGCAGTGGTCTCAAGGATTCAGTGAAGGTTTAGGGGTGAGGGTTTGAGGTTTATTGAATACACATCGTACCCTAAACCCTAAACCCTAAACCCTAAACCCTAAACCCTAAACCCTAAACCCTAAACCCTAAACCCCATATGCTGCATCGTCAGCAACTTCAAGGGCTTGGGACTTTAGGGTTTCACGGTCGAGGGCTCAGGTTTTGAGAGCATTTAGGGTTTAGGGCTTCGGGTTTAGACCTAAAACCTAAACCCTAAACCCTAAACCCTAAATCCTAAACCCTAAACCCTAGGAGTTCAGGAGGGATCACTTCTTCAGGCAGCCATCACCGAGCGATCTCGACATCGCGAGCCCCGGCACGCCAGTCCTTGGCGTCCAGAAGGTCCCGACCCCTAAACCCTAAACCCTAAACCTAAACCCTAAGCCCTAAATCTTAAAACTCCTAAACCCCTAACCGCCCTAATCCCTGATCCCTAAACCCCCAAATGGGTTTGGGTTGGGGAGGGTCTTTAGGGCCTAGGGCTTAGGAGCCCTAGACCCTGACCCCTAAACTGCCCAATTCTCGGCAAGAAAGGAGCGTCTCAACACTTGAACCTTGAAGGGGGGCATAGGCAAAGGGAGTAGAGAACCTCGTTTACGGGGCCAAGGTTCGATGGGCGTAGAAACTATGCAAGGAATCAGGGTTTAGGGTTTAGGGCTCGGACTCGTCGCAAGTACAGGGGGGAAAGGGATTTGGATGCTGCCTGAGTCTGCTGTTATGATGCGGCTGTGGGTTGGTATGTGCCCAACCTCTTCTTTTTTTTCGGAGGGGTTCGACTGTGTGTTTCAAGCCTCAACTGTGCAAAAGGTTTCGGTTTTCTGGCTGAGCTATAGGGCTCGGGTGGTGTGGTCAGGAAACGGACTCATTATCGCTCCCGGGTAGCGAGAGATCAGAGATTCACCTGTCGACTTCGGGCGCTCAGGGTTTAGGGTTCTCAGCGGATACCTAATTCCACAACAGTACTACCCCTAAACCCTAAACCCTAATCCCTAAACCCTAAACCCTAAACCCTAATTCCACAACAGTACCAGGTCTCTTGTAAAAAAGGCTTGCCCGGCGAGCATGCAAGCCTTAGCGATGGCTACTGGCTGCCGCGGCTCTTGGGAATGAAAATCCGGCTGACTACCTCCCCGTCGTCGTACCTGCGAAGGATTGGCAACTTGAACCTTTTTTTTAGGGTTCAGGGTTCAGGGTTCAGGGTTCAGGGTTCAGGGTTCAGGGTTCAGGGTTTAGGGTTTAGGGTTTAGGGTTTAGGGTTTAGCGTTTGGGGTAGGGGGGTTCGGAGCATGGATCTAGAAAGTAGAGCCCCTTTGAAGGGTTTAGGGTTTAGGGTGAAGGGTTTAGGATGAACCTCCCTACAGTCATAACATCAAGATACTACTGCTGGATTGGCCTTCTTCTCTGCCACTGCCCCTGAATCCTCCCACATGTCCGGGTGATGATGTCCGGTTCTTTGCAAACATATGCACCCCTCTATGGGTCTGGAGAGTACTACTATTTGCTGAAGAACCCCAAAAGAAAAATAGTAATCCCTATATTACCTTATAAGGAAAATCGTTTTCTATTTTTTTTTTTGGGGGGGGGGGGCCTTAAGCAATTAGTAGTAACCCTAAACCCTAAACCCTGAACCCTTTTTTGGGGGTGCTTAAGCGATTAGTAGAAGAGGTTCCCCCACAACACCCGGCCAGAACAAGAAGCCCCCAGCTTTGTGCAGCGGGCTGCGCGGGGAGGATACCAGCCCTGAAAAAGAGGGTTTAGGGTTTAGGGTTTAAGGTTCAGGGTTTAGGGATACTGCGGGAAATCCCTTACCTTAGACCCTAAACCATAGGAGTCACATCAAGCAAGGCGCAGTCCGTGAATTCTGCCAAAAGACCGACGCGAGCTTAAGACAATGAGTCGGTTCGTAGGGACTATATTATGACTTCGGTAGTGGCACAAACAAACCGATCAACGAAAAACTGGGGTTTAGGGTTTAGGGTACAGCCCCTTTGCAATACCCACAAACAAAAAACCTGCACCCGAAACCCTAAACCCCAAACCCTAAACCCTAAACCCTATACTCTCTTTCGGTTCCTGGCCTCTTCTGAACGACCTGTGCTCCCGCAGCTTCGAGGCGGCTGTACTCGTCGGGGTTGTGGGCCTCATGGAGGGTGTTAAGGGGTGAAGTGTTCAAGGGGAATTTAGGGTTTAGGGTTTAGGGTTTAGGGTTTAGGGTTCAGGGTTTAGGGTTTGGGGTTTAGGGTTTAGGGCGGAGAGGCTGAGGGTTTGCAGCGTCCATCTCTCTGTGGTCAGTTCTCAAAACCCTAAACCCTAAACCCTAAACCCTAAACCCTAAACCCTAAACCCTCAGTTCTCAAAACTCGGGTCCCCTTACCCTCACCCTAAATCATCAGACCGGGCATGGGGTTGAATGTTGTAGGATTGAGTGGCTTGTGACTTTGTGGCTTCAGAGTAGGGCTTGGTAGGGTTTTGCAGGGCTGCGTTTGTGTTTCGCAGGGTGTAAGGAATGCAGTTTACGAGGTTCCAGTCGCATGGGGATGAGAGTTGAAGGCTCGTGGCACTTGACTTCCCTAAACCCTGAACCCTAAACCCTAAACCCTAAACCCGGAGGACCTCGAGATCCCCAACCTCCAGGCCAGCAAACACTAAATTTCTGAGAGTGCGTAA